GTATTGCTCTCTAACTAATGTCCCTGTGGGATCTTTTCTCATTATGCAGGCACAATTGACAAGCACACGGTAGAAGTCACCAATTGCTTCTCCGTGCCTCACAATGAGTCGGAAGACGAGGTGAGTCTCTGGGGAAAGCTCGTCGGCCTTTATTCTGTGTCCTCTGACGTTCCTGTCTGGGAAAAGAGGAAGAGACCCGGAGGGCGATTCCGGCTGTAGAAAAGGGTTCGTTAAAGTGATCCACCGGGATCTGGATTTGAACCTTGGGGATCTGTGACAGCTTGACTTTCACAGGTTCTGAATCCAGATCCCTGCTGAATCCAGGTGAGGAATCCAATCCTCGTCTACAGCCGCAATCTCCCTCCTGATCTCTTCCTCAAAGACAGCTGTGAGGCTCTTGAGGAGACATTAGGGAAATATTCTTTTCAAAAAGCTCCTGTTGGTTCAAGCACACTGTGCTTCTCAGCTCTTGAAGGGCCGCAGGCTGTGGTGGTTAAGCCCCTTCAGAACTCTGGTTCACTGGGTCTTGTTAGACGAGTTCATGAGTAAATGTGCATTGCGATAAAGCTTGATCAGAATTGTTTTCTCTCTTTAACACTGCCAGTCAAAAGGCCGACACACTGTAAGACCTGACACGGACCTCACTGCTAAACAACTGGAGTCTTATTTCTCTCCCCTGGGTTTTCTGTGTCCCAGTTCTGCTCCTCGAGGGGCACAGATAAAGTGGAAAAATGTTTTCGTTGTTTTGTTTTTTTTTAGAAATAGTGAGTGAATAATATTTATGTAACTCATCTAACATTTCAATCACATTGTCTTTTTCTGTCTTGACGAATGAAGAAACATAGCTAGGCGCTGTGTCACATCTGAGGTTTCGGGTTGGGATTTATAATGCATCACACCAGGCGGTTTTGTAGCCAGAAGAATTGTTTAATATCATTGTTAATCAGAAAGCTAGGCTGACAGTAGTCTAAATAATGAATATAAGAGAAGGGTTCAAAGGCCCATCTTCAGTCACCACCCAAAGGGTGTGTTTGCTGAGCTACATTTGACTTTGCCTCCTATATTGTAGTGTTGATGAGGTGAGTATCCTACGTAGAGTCGCATGTCTCAAACCGGCGCTTGAACCTGACCCCCCCCCAGGTTGAAACAAATGCCCCCTTGTTCAAATTGTTCTGGTAGTGGTCCTGTACAGGAGTACAGTCACACACACACACACACACACACACACACACACACACACACGAGTTCAGCTGACCTCGTCTGCACTCTGGTTTGATTTCAGTATAATTCACTTTCGATTCAAAAGGCTTCATTCAGC